AAAATTTTATTCCAAAAGAACAACATTCGAGGCCGGGGATCCTCACAATTCAACCCGGTGTTATCCTGGCAGCCTCAGCCAGTTTAGCTTAGGGCCTCGCCACACAGGCTTTCGAAACGTGCAAAAAGAGAATGAACTTTTTTCTAGAAAAACGACTAGATTCACTCGCAACATTTTTGTCTTTTGCATGTTTCGGAAGTCTGTGTGGCGAGGCCCTTATAGTGACCCACCGTGACTCCTCTGAATAAGCTCAACTCCCTAATACTACACCCTATTAAGACTACTACCACTATATACTAACTACATCTACCCCCTAATTACCCCGTTAGCTACCCCTACCACTCCTATCCCTACGCCCTTTCATCCACAGGCCTAACACTGGCCTGAGCCCGGCCCAGTTCGACCGGGAGGAGCAAGCTTGTTCCTTTGGTCCAAACCTGGCACTCTCCTCCCTACCCCCCCATTGCGGTCTACTTCGGCCGCCGACTGGAACAAGAGGTTCAGTTCAACCATGGCGATATCCGTAGCTTGTTTCCTTCTAACGAAGCTAATGCTCCCGGCAGTCCCCAGGACTCCAAGAACCACCTTCTCCCCGAACCGGCCTGTTTGGGCAGCACTTTTCTTCTCCAGTCTGCTTTGATTTCCATCTTCAGTGTCTCCTTGAACAGTCTCTCTGCTTGAGCTTCTTCCATCCCCTCTCCCTGGAACCTGCTTGCATTCCTATCCAACCAGATAACCCACATGAGCGCTGCTCTGGTAACTTGTGCTATATACCCCCACCCTTTCAGCGCCGAGTAGTCTTCCGGCAGTGTACCCTGGAGTACCCAACGTTCGTTCTGGCCAATAATCTCCCCAGACATCTTGTTCCAGTGTCTGAACCACCATCCCCACCATTTCTTAGAACGTGGGCAGGCCCACCACAGGTGGGTCATCCTCTCCACCGGCCACTTACAACGGTCACACTCCTGTCTTACCTCCATTCCCCTCCTTCCTAAACACCTGGCTGTGGGAACTGAGAGATGAGACTGTAGCCACAGTAAGGACGCTAGCTTCTGAGATGGGATTGCAGCCAACTGCTGCCGCAGCCTGCTCAGTTCCAGTTCTGATGGTGGGTCCAGGCACGGCTGTGCCCTTTCCCATTTATCGATCAACTTTGCCTCCAGCCTTCCTCTCGGTGCCTCTTTTGACAGGATCAGTCTTGCCGATAGCTTTGACACGTCCGAGACTACCCCGGAACCAACATTCCACCCCCATGCAAGCGGATCTATCCTTAGTTCACTTTTTGCCTTACCGCCCGCTATGAGTTTGTAGACTGCCGGTTCTCCCCTGCCCTGCTGTTTCACTGCCCTCACCCTGATTTCTGTCAAACCCGCTGTGCCCCACCTAAAGGAGGATTGATACAACGCTAGGATATCGCTATGATCACTGACTTTTCTATACTCTATCATTTCACATTTCCCATTCCCTTGTGGAACCCACTGCTTCAGACACATGTAAGTTACCTCCTCTTCCCCTTCCCCTTCTGATTTAAACCACGTTCCAACGGGATGTAATCCTTCAGGCCCTAGCAGATCCTTCCAAGACGCAGGTATTGCCTCGATCAGACAGTCTCTCCTTTCCCTCTGTGCCGGTAGCTGCCTAAGCTTGTTCCTCAAGAACCCTGGTGAGTGCCATTGGTTGGTACTTTCATCCCAGAGATCTCCAATTAATGAAACTCCCCTCTGTATCCATTTTTGGCCAAAGTTACCAGGTGCTGCTGCAGCGGAGAACCTTTTTCCCTCCTGATCCAGAATATGGTGGTTTTCGAAGAGTGGTTGCTGCAGGACCTCCACCTTCGTTTTGGGGACCATTATGACATCCGGTTTCGCCTTTTTCCGGGCAGTCAGCACGTTACTCCAAAACTTGGACTTAATTCGCTTATTAATGAAAGGGTCCGTCATGATTTCCACCCAAACATTCGACGTGCGAGACAGCCCCCATTCATCCTGAAGGATGGATTCCGCCAGCACACACCAATCTGGAGCTTTTGGAGCTTCTGCAACCTTCTGCAACCAACTCGATAACAGTGCCAGGTTTTGCGAACCAGGGTCCAATATGGCCAAACCTCCTTCCTCCCGCGGCTTGCACAACGTCTCCCACGCCACTTTGGCTACATAACCCTGGTTCTCCTCCGGCTGGCCAAAACCCTCTCCTGCAGCAGTAGGTTCTGTGCGTTGGAACAGTCTTCCAGCGACACCAGCACTCCCGAGAATTTCTCTGCCGCATTGACCGGTACTCGCTTCATCCCCCACTGGGCTTGAAAGTCAAAGTCCTTCGGCAGGAAAAAGGTAGACTTGTTCCAGTTGATTGCCGCCTCCGATAGCTCACCATATGACTGAAGACAGCATCTTAGCTCATGTAGAGAGTCCGGTTATTTAACTGAGAATGCCTGCAGGTCATCTGCCAAGGATTTCACCTTGCAGTCTCTGTCTTCTGTTAGTTTAAGCCCCTCAATTCGCGGATTTGCCCTTATAGCACACAACAAAACTTTTAAATGCAAAACGACCAGCAGGGGTGTCAGCAGATACCCTTGCCTCAGAGATCTACTAAGTTTGAACTCTTGCGAGTTCTCTCCATTCACCTGGACTACTCCAGAGGCCGGTGCGTATAGCGCTTTCACCCAGCAGAAAAATGGCTCACCAAACCCTACCACTCTGAGGGTCGTCATTACGAACGTCCAGTTCACCCTATCATAGGCCTTCTCCAGGTCTATCATGAGGACTGCGATATCCTTATTGTCTCTTTCTATAACCTCTAGCGCTTCTACCGCCGTCAGAATATTATCAAAAATTGATATCCCACGGACGAAGGCGCCCTGATCCATTCCTACCAGACGAGGGAGATATTTACTCAGCCTTCTAGCAATTGCCTTCGCTAAGATCTTATAAATAACATTTAATAGCGAGATCGGTCGCCAGTTCCTCACATCCGCAAGATCTCCTTTCTTGTACAAGAGTGTAATAATCACCCGTGACATGGATTTGTCCAAATGTCCCCCTGTGAGGATACCATTAGACAGCTGAACCATATCCGGTTCCAAGGTGTCCCAACAGGTAGTGAAAAACTCAAGAGGTAATCCGTCATCTCCTGGAGCTTTCCCCTTCGCCATGTCTTTAAGGGTCTCTCGTAGTTCCTCTGCCGTGATAGGTCTATCCATATCTCTTTTCCCTTCCTCCGGTAGCCGAACCTCCATGGTTTCCCATAATTTTGATTCCTTGGTCAGCTCTGTCTCCCAGTCCCAGAACACCTTTCTGGTATCCAGGATGTCCCAGAAGTAGTCTGCAGCATACTCACACATGTCCTTATTAGACTTTGTTGTGGGCAGTCCCATCAAGTGCGGATGCTGCAGTTCGTGCATCGACGTGTGCCTCCTTCTTGACAACAGTTTTTGAAAACATTCTTTAGATACTCTATCATTGGTGACTATCCCTTTCTCCTTTAGGATCTGCCCCCATCTTTGTTGCTTCTTGATCTGCCTGTTTTCCCACTCCCATAACCTGAGCACTCTCTCCTCTGCCCACACCAATTCTGAGATCGGATGACCACTCATCTGGAACTCCGCTTCTTCTACTCTCTTCAACAGCTGGGCTTCCTCTTTGTTTCTTAAGAACACTGCTATCATCGAGAAAACATCGAACTTCTCATAAATTATTCAGATCCCTGCGTCCCACCAGTCCTCATAGGACTCAAAATGTTCCTTGGAGAGCTGCCAGGACTGCCAAAACTGGTTAACCCAATTACTCCACCACTCATCCTCCAAGTTGGGAGTGTTCAACATGAAGTGACCCGGACCTCTCTCATTTGCTTTCGACACATTTACCTCTAACACCACCAACTTGTGGTCTGCTAGATCAGCATTCAGTTCTCGTATCAACAAAACATTGCTTGAGAAAACTCCTTTAGTTAAGAAGAAGTCAAGTCTTGTCTTTGCTCCAGCCGCCTCTGCTGTGCTTGCAAACCAGGTATATCCCGCTTTCGTCGGATGGGTTTCCCTGAAGATATCAGCTAGTCCCCACCTTTCCTTCCATGGGAGCAGTGCCTCTCTATCTTTCCTTAATGAGTCTGCAACTTCTGAGTCCACCCCTAGGTTACATACTAGGTTCCAGTCTCCTCCGATGAGCAGATGATCCGCCTTTGGAAGGCAGTAAGGGAGAGTTCTGATGAAACGGTATCTTTCGTTCGGTTCGTTTGGTGCATACACCGTCGCTATAGTGCACTCCACGTCCCCAATCAATAGTTTCAACCACACCCACCTCCCCCACAGATCAGAGTCGTAGTCTATCAACTTTGCCTCTACCCGTCTGTGTACCAAGATAGTCGTACCTCCTTTGGTTCCTCTGGCGGGGGACCAAAGTTGCGGTCCCTCCCACCGGTCCGTTAGTTGTACCAACTTTTTTTCCGATAGCTTGGTTTCTTGGAGTAGAGTAACGTCCAACTTCACACAGTGGATCCAATACTTCAGTCTTTTCCCTTTTTGTCTCCCTCCTGTATCTCCTTGTCCTCTTCCATTCCAAGTTCCAACTTTAATCTTTCCCATCTGGAATCTCCTCGTCTGCGTTCAGTTCTTGGATCCGCACTTCTTTCAATTACTCCCCATCTGCTCTCTCCTGAGTGGGGCTGGGAGCTTGCCATTTTTCTGCAAGAATCACCTGAAAGTATCCAGATTCGATGTTTCTGTCCACAGGCAACTTCTCATTAATCTCCCTCAGAAATCCCGCCGAGATCCCTGGTTCAACCACAACGTTTCCCAACTCCTCGTCTGATGTCCCCAACAGTAATCTTAACGGAATACACGTTAATCCTACCGAGGGCAAGCCTGCCCAGTGCGGGGTAGGAATACGAGCATCCACCATTGGAATATAAAACTTCAGTCTCCTTCCATTTGGCGTGTCGACCGTCATTCTCGGCATCGTATCTTCCGGGAAGATTCTGAAGCAGAATCTATCCGCATACAGCTGACAGACTCTAGCTTCGATCATCCCTGGAGAAGGATTGCCACAAAAGGGAGAAGAAGGTAGCACTGTCTTGCCATCTCTGTTTACCAGCCCCAGGATATACGGCTCCTGGCCTAACAACGTGCAGATGAGCGGTACCAGGAACTTCTCTTTGTGATGCTGACCTCCTGTTGTTCTGGTATCGACCCCATCTGGAATGAAGTAGCTTCGATCCTTTGACCTTCTCCCATCTGCCGACGATGATTCGCTGTGTCCTTGAAACGCGCCCTCCGATAGGTCTTGTAGCCTTGGCCCTCTTGCTCTCTCCATACCGTATTGCAGTTCCTGACTATCGTCTACCACCACCACTTTCTCTTCTGCCCCTCTAAACGTTCTGAATCCATCCCCATTTTCCCTTCGTGGATCCATCAACGGACCGGTCTCACCCCCTTGTTGCGTGGTGTGGTCGTATGCTAGCCCCGAATACTGTTGCAACATTCCTCCCATGCTAGTCCAATTTCCTTGCGGTATGGATCGCCCTTGGTGTTGTTGCCAAATCGATGTTTGATATGGTAGCGCCGTGTAGGGCCCACCTCCCTTGACAGCTCCCCCCCATAGGTTTGCTTGCCATCCTGCAAGCAACGGCTGTGCCCATTGATTATGTTGCTCTGATGTTCGTTGCCCTTGGTGCATGTTGTACTGACCTCCTTGTCCCTCTCTCTCATTTCCCCAACCATACCCCTCCCCCTGTGGTTGCCGAGACTGAGTTCGATCTTGCGGAGGTGGTCTTCCTGATGTGCTGCCCTCTCCCCGCCCGACAGCTTCTGGTCTGGGGTCTCTTGACGCCTTTCGAAACTCTCTCTCGTATATGGTGACGCCTTGCTGTTGTCGGCGATTACCTGAGTTGGAAGCTGCTTGCTCCTTTGCGTCTTCTTCCTCCGCTCTCGGACATCCTTGTGACTCTGTATGGAACCACCATCGGCACCGCTTACACCATGGCGTGTTTTTGCAAGCGAATTGGACTTGGATTAGCTTACCGTCGTCGAGTTTCATCAAAAGCATAGGTTCGAACTTTTCTTCCGCGTCCCTGGGTAGGTCGAACTTCAGGTTCATCAATTTTGGCCGAGTCGGATCCAGTTCTGGGGGGTGGCGATGAATAATCGCACCGATCGACTGTGCCACCAGATCCCTTACAGGAAACATCGCTCGTAGAAGGACTCTGATCGCAGTCACCCAGAATTTTGTCTCGTCATCTTGCCTTCGCTGCTCTTTTTATTCTGCTCTAGTCATCCAAGGTTTAAACAACATCCAATATTCCACTCCTCTTATAGTTACCACGTCCTCCGCTTTGGCCACCAACCATTGCGTTACCTCCCTTGACTTTGCAATATATGACATCACATTTGGGCCTTCTCCATGCACCTGTCCTCGCTTAAAGCCTCTTGTGAAGGTTCGCTTCCGTGTCCAACCGTTCTCGTAAGCTCTTATTAAGTTCTCCCTCACCTTCATTGGCAGATCCCTGGCCTCTCCTTGAAAAATCACCGTGAGCGTACGCTGCTTCAGCCACGCCGTTGTTAGCCTATCAATTCGAGGGTTGACTTTGAAGATTCGCACCCCATTCTCTACGACAAATTCTCCATGCTACAAATTTTCTGGGAATACCCCATCTTCATAACATTTCGCTATCAGGAGCTCGATGCGATCCTCTTCTGCCAGAGCCACGTCCCTTTCTTCCGGCCTTTCTTGCCGATTTTCTCACTCTTAGTTACTCTGCTCCATTATGACTGAGTTTCCCCACCTCTAACCCTGTGCACTACTGTATGTTAGCGAAATTCGAGTAATTCACCGCGTTAGAGGAGGGCGCCCTACTCTGGCGCACGTCAACACACTCCTCCCTAGAAATCCTGTTCTCCGCGTGTATGTATCTTACGTCACGCTATAGCTCCAGTTCACTGTTGGGCCAACCCACGTGTCTCCATGCCCCCCTTCCCTGACGGGTTAGTTGCTCAGAAAGTGCCGAGCAGGGTGAATGCACTGGCGCTCAGACTTCATGGCTCTGCCTCGGTTTTCAAAAGATGGGCTTTTGTGGGAAATAAATAAATTACAAATAAAATGAAAGAATACTGTTACGAAAACAAAGAAAAACTGTTAGGAGTAACAAAAAAAAAAAAAAAAAAAAAATTGTTAGTAGTAATAGGACGTAGTCTGATAATTTCTTTCCCTTTTTAGTTTGAAAGAAACCATGTCCACATTTATTACGCGCCTCAATGCCCGAGGTAAAATTAAATTATGAGTTCTGCTCCGCCCATTTACTTGGGAAAGTTTCCTCTTCACAAATTTAGTACGGCACATTTCCCGTGATGGAAAGGCTGGTTCCACCTACCAGCCTTTTTGGGGCTATTACAAAAATTCCTGCTTTTGATTTTGAATCGGGCGAGGATTGTGGTATGATGCATTGCACATTTTTTGAGAGAGTACTTGACCAAGGAAACCCTGCAGGACACTTCCAAGCCGAGGAAAGTGAAACGTCCAGCCTGGAGAAATGAATTGTCAGTGGAAACCGGAGAAAATTCCGAAAGGCTTCGTCCGTGGACATAGAGGAAAATCCCCAAAGGGATTTAAAAATATATATATGAAAAAAAATGGATCAATTCTCTTTTTTTTTTCTTTTTTTTTCCTTTTCTTTTTCAAGCAGCACATTAAGTTCCATTGCAAGAAAGAACTTGGTACGAGATCGGGGATCCTTACAATTCAACCCGGTGTTATCCTGGCAGCCTCAGCCAATTTAGCTTATAGTGAACCACCTGAGTCCTCTAACTAACTTCAACTCCCTTCTACTACCCTCTACTACAACTACTACAAATATGTAGTACCTACAGCTACCACCTAAGTAACCCTACTAACTATCCTTACCATCCCCTATTTGCATTTCTCTATTTAATATTTATGCATGTCATCCTTGCCATGCTAATATTCTCTATACCTGGGACTAGGTCCCACTTACACGAATTAAGCGATATTGACCGTAGATAGCAAAGATTAATGGTCAGAATCTCTTAATCCGTGCAAGTGGGACCTTGCCCCGGATGTCCCTAAGGACAAATTTTTCAATTTTGGTAGTGGAGCACCGGACACTTCACACAACCTCTCGAAACTTTGGTGCAGCGGACCTCTATCTGCCCTGGCCTACAGCCAGGGCCAATCTGGCCATTTTCCCTATTCGGTCAGTGGGATCAGGCCGTGGCCTGATCCCGAAGGCCGTGTGGTTATTCTGTCCAGACTTGTCCTGCCCGGTACCACTGTCGGTACCAGGCCAACCCAGTCAAGTCCAGTCAGTCCGCTGGGGGCATACCCCAGCTGCAATCTGTTTTGTGGCTCATTCTTCATTTGCACAGATTGGAGTACGCGCGTGTTGAGTCTGGGTTGGAGCTGCGTTATCCCTTCCAGCTCCATCTCCATCTCCCCCATCCTCATCCCTTCGTCTTCATCCTGAAGGACCGCCATCCCGGCGGGTCCGTCACATTGGTATCAGAGCAGGCTTTCCTCCCTGCTCTTCTCCCCCACCCACCCCACCTATCAGTTGCCACGCGGCTTGAGCAAAAAAGAAAAAAAAGAAAAAGAAAAAAAAAAAGCTCGCCACTTTTCTTTGGTAATGACACCGGTGCACTCTTTCGATCGTAACCTCTGCAACGGTGGTCCAAATTTATGGATCTTTAGCTTGTTGGAAAACCCTCGACGTGCTGCTTCCAACAAGCTATAGATCGCTAACTTCTGTACGGTATTTGAGGAGCTACAATCTTTCAAAGATCGCAATTTTGTTTTGAAGCTCCCAAAACCACCGGTGCTCGTTTTTTTTCAACGAGCGCTATTACAGGAGGCAGTGGCTGATGCTGCGCCTTATCAAGTTGGAAGCGGCTTTCAAAAAGCTTTTTAACAAGACCTCTATCGCCAAATTTCACCTAGCAAGTGAAAAGTTATTGGCAAAAGAGTGTTTGCCCTCTACCTCTCCTCTCTTGACCTGTGACCATCTCCATAGTGTCACGTGGCAGTTTGCTGAGGATTTTTTTTTTTGAAGACCCCCCTGGCTAGGGGGCTAGGGGGCTGCACTACAGTGAAACTGGGTGGCTGATCAAGATCTCAGCCAACCCCAGATAATGTGCAGCAGCAGTTCATCACCACCTTGAAGACCCCTTCTCCCAAGGGGTGTGTAAAGGCCAAGATCTTGTGGATCTTGGTGAGATTTTATGCTCTTGGTTACCCAAGAGCTGGATATCACCTCTCTCATCACTTATTCACTCTCCCACTCCCTTTTCCCTCTCTCTCCTTCATCATCTGACCTTCTTTTTCTCTCATCACCACTCATCCATCACCTTTTCTCATTTCTTCCCTCTCAACTTTTCTCATTTCTCTCCTCTTCTCCCCACTAATCTGTCATCCCCTTCACTCTTTCTCCATCCACTACCATATTTTTACTCTCTCCTCTCCCAACCTCACTCTCCTTGCTTCTTTTCCCTACTTCTCTCCTCTTCTTCCCATTAATCTCTCAGACCCCTCCCTCTTCACTCATCTCCCACCATCTTTTTCTCTCCTCTCTCTCCACTCACCTTCTTTTACTAATCTCTCCCTCTTTTCGTTACCTTTTCCATAGCTTTCTCTCTCATTCTCTCACCCTCCTCCCTTCCTTTCTTCCCCCAACTACAACCCCATCATCCCACTCACCTACCACTTCAGTCTTTTCTCTTTCCCACCTATTTTTCTCTTTTCTCATCACTTTTTCAGCTTCCCCCCCCGCACTCCGAATTTTTCTGTTTTTCTTTTTTTCTCTTTCTCTTTGATGTAAAATTTCTTTTTTCCTCCAAAACTTTGAATCATCTTATTCCCGACTTCTTTTCTTATTTTCTTATTTATTTTTTTATTTATTTTATTTATTCTAAAAATTCAAAATTTTCTGCGGCACCTCTATATCTTGCTAGGACTTAGTCTTTCTTTGTTGTCGGCGCACATTTTGACCCCTTGGGGGTAGCGAAGCACGCGCCAAAATTTTCCATTCTACTCAGTCTTTTCTTGACGGCACACTTCGACCCCATGGGGGTAACGAAATGCTGCCGAAATTTTTGAAAAATTTCAAAACTTAGTTTCTCTTCACTCTCTTCCACCTCCTTATTTATTTGTTTACTTACTCATTTATTTTTCTAAAAATTTTAATTTACGACATTTTGAAAGTTAGAGTGTCCCTCTTGCACTTTCTTTCCTCTTGGCCCATTTCTGACCCCATGGGAGAGAGAATAGAGTAAATGTGCATGGGGTCAGAAATGTGGCGGCAAACTAATCAAGAAAAACCCTAAACCCTAGAAAAACCCTAAGGAAACCCTAACCGGAGTTTAGGTGGTTAGGAGAAGGTGGCGGCAAACTAATCAAGAAAAAAAAATAATAACTATGGATGGGAGAGAGAATAGAGTAAACAGTGGATT